TCCACCATAACATGTTCTGCAACACAGGGCGGTACTGATACAGTAGTAGTAGAAGTTCCATCCAATGAACAAACTACCGTGACGTCCACATGGCTAGGAAATAAGACTTCGACAATAACATATTCTGCCACACAGGGTGGCACTGATACAGTAGTCGTAGAGGTTCCATCTAATCTGAAAACTACTGTGACTTCAGCTTGGTCAGGAAATGCGACTTCAACACTAACCAACTCAGCTGTTCAAGGTGGTACTGACACAGTAGCATACAATGAACAAACCACTGTGACTTCCACATGGTTAGAATATACGACTTCGACAATAACAAATTCTGCAACACATAGTGGCACTAATACGGTAGTCGTAGAGGATCCAAACAGCGAAATAAATTTGAGAAGTAGCAGAGTAGAGGGCTCAAGCTTTCCAACAATCTCTAGCTCCTACCTAGCTAATGGTACTGATAATCTTACCAAGCAAGTACCAATTAGTTCTCAAAAGAGTATTACAATTCAAAGTATAAGTGTGCTTTCAGATTCTAGTTACTATAAGACCGATTCTGTACATCTGTCCATTTCTCAATCTTTTGTTTCTTCTACAACAAATGAAAGTGATATTCCCTTAAAGTCATGTAATGATTCGCAAACTGTTACCATTAGCTCTTTGAAAGAATCAATAAGTCTGCAATTTATCTATTCCACTACATTGGACGCAACGAGTATTCAAATATTGACATATATTGATTCAAAGGATATATCCAGCACTACTATAAGTCAGGAACCATGGAACTCGCAGTCAACTTCATTTACACTAAATGCAACGGATACATGCAAGAGAGTGACATATAGTTCATGGAATAGCATGAGCAGTGCCATAATCGAGATACCACTGAAGGTGATCAGTATGTGGAATTTAACAGGATCCAGCTCACTATCTGTATTCGATTCTGTTGTAACTAGTACTGAATTGACTTCATCTAATTCTGAAAGCATGTCGAATGAGATTAAATACAACTTTTCAAAAGTCACCAGTACAGTCATGAGAAACTTTACAGTTATCAGTACTGAATTATCGTCAAATCAGCGAAGTACACTACATGATGTAAGCTCTTACTCTCTATATGACATTAGTACTGATTTCGTATCTCTTCTCAATGAACGATCTTCTGTTACCTGTACTTCCATTGGCGGGACAACTACACAACCAAATATAAATTTCAGTAGTGCTACCAGCACGAGACTTCTGTCGAGTGTACATATCTCATCATTACCAACTAATGTTCGAAGACTGAATGAAACCGCTACTTATTCAAATTCACTAACTGAAGAAGTCAGTTCGACTTCAAGTAGCGAGTTTTATATAGAAGTAATGTCTTCCGCGATAACATTCGTTATTGAGGAGACTTCGAAAACTGGCTACTTTAACTCAACATCAAACCAGTTAACGGAAATTAATGAGAAACAGAGTACGGTCACTTCAATGATGCTGGTCTCATCAAGTTTCAGGACCACTACAGTTGAGTCATTGCAAACATCTTCTTTCCAGTCGAAATCAAAATCATGTGCCAAGAGTGGAAATCTAGTTGCCAAAGACACTCAGTCAAGCTCTAACGAAACTGGTGGCGCCCTCTCTTTTGCATTCGCTAAAACAAGCTTAGGAAATCTGTCGAAGTATCAGATATCCAGACCATCAAATTTTGCTCCCTCTACCACTTACAGTACTAACAATATTCATAAGACATCTGAATATCTGACTAATACAAATTCTTCAGTGCCTGATATCAACTTGACCCTTCTGAGCTCATTAATACTTAGCGCAACCCTTAATAAAGCAATATCTGTTGTCCTGTCATCAGTTGTTATAATTGATCGTTCAATTTCGAAATCAATTTCTAGAGTTGGTAGCAGCAACGCCAACGACATAGTTCAATCAAAACCTTCAGGTTTTACGACTTTCATGACTTTCAGTCCGCCTTCTACAATAATTAATTCGCTCAAATTTTCTCCTAGTTCAGGTTCGACATACATTTCCAAAATTCGAAGCAGTACCCAAATTACTGATCTTTTAAAATCTTCCACAATAAGTAGCAGTCGAAATGGGAGTTTCTCAATAACCTTAGATGCCTCACATGGTACCTTAAACTTACTAGTGTCGACAACCAGGACCCAAGTTACACCTAGAGCCATTTTGCAAACAGACTACCTCAAAAAAAGTTCCACCATGTCAAAATATAAAAGTCTATCGGTTTCCAATCCGACAACAATTATACCCAACTCACTCATGGCAACAGAAGAAAGACCCTATGACTCTGTAACTGCATCACCAGCTTACAGTATTACATTTTCATTAACTAGTTTTGGTTCTCAATCATCTAAGTTTGACCAAATTTCTAATCTGACGAGTTGTAAAACGCCCTGCCCACTATTCACATCGTTGGAAACTTCGAATTCAAGTATCAAACCCAACACTCAATCCTCTGTGAGTGATAATGCCGTTAGCAACCTTACAAATCCAATTTTCGTTTTCATTGTTATTGGTATTTTGCAACTATTATCAATTTAATCCAACTTTTAAGTAAAATTCTACACTATAACTGAGTTCATATAGGTTGAGCTTTTTTATGAATCTACAAAATTTATTACCAATATATATAGTACTACTTCATGCAAAAATTCTCATCACTTTTCATATAATATAGTTTTCACCATTAGGATGAATATTTTTGAATAAAACATTCTCCAGATAAGTTTGAGAACGAGGCTATGACAACTCGATAGGCCGACTCGACATTTGCCCCACTGTAATGCGCATGGCCACCTTAGGACAATTTTATATAGTCTGTCAGTGTTTCTTTTCACTTTTATGGATCAGTATAAATGTTCATTTCGCTGATAACGTATGGCAAGATGTCTATACGTTTTAATTTTTAGGAGGTGGTGATACTACTAGGAAAAACTATTTCAAGTCAAGGAAACCCAGAATATCATCTTGAGTTTTCAAAAACAATGTAGAATTGTAAAGCTGTGATAATGATATTCTTTATCAGAAGTTAGGTAACATCAGAGACAGTATGTTGATGCTATAAGTGGAAAGCAAACCCTTCTGAACGCAGTAAAACTTTTACATTAACTCTACAATTGGAAGTTGTAATAGAAGTTGGAGATGAAGTAGATTAAATTTTTCAACAGAGAATTCTTTTCTCGCTCCACACTGGCTTGAGGCATCTCTAAGTTAGTCGAATACATTATTTTCCTAAAAATTGACCTCCGACGAAAGTTACAATATGCACTAGAGAGAATGTCATCTATGCTAAATGAAGGTACAGTTTTTAGAAAAATTTCATATTTTTCCCATGGAGCACTCGGGACCAGTAGTTACTTTTGCTGGTGTGTTAAATTTTCATGCTTCTCTCCAGTAGATGTGTGAATCTACTACATTAGCAAAAAGGATCTCATCTTGCTAGAATCATATGTGCGGCGCGCATGAAAATATTTGAAGCCGCCGCACTGCGCTTCATGATTAACGCATCAGTAAAGTCATAAGGTTATGGTGAACAGAGGAGGATTTTGAAGGCGTTATTTTGTAGGTGCTCTAACAATATTGAGAGCTTCAATTCAGTAATCCCCAATAGTGGCTTAGATATGCTCATAATTCTCTTGTCTTTTATGCATGTATTTTTCTTAAAAGGTCGGGTTTATTCACAAGCCTCGGATACGCAGCTTTTTCACTATTTTTTTCGAGCTTTTTTGATTTTTCTTCTCTCCTATTCAGTGCGTTATGCAAGATGCATTTTGATTTCCTCTTTTGGTGACATCGGCTAAGTCGTCATCTCCGGAACAGTGATTTTCTACATTGCATTACGTAATTGATTTATCTGACAGGAAGCCAAGTAGCTCAAGATTTTCTATTGTTTTGGAGGTTTTACTTCAAGCGGCTTACGGAGAGGTAAGTAATGAAGTTTATAATTACTTCGAGCAAACTTATGAGTTGAATTGCACAGAATAACAAAATTATTCGATCTTCTGGTAATTTTAGGGTTCTATTTTTAAATTTTGCCCACATGTTTCAATTTTTATCATGATTCCATGTATACACTTTCAAAAATCAAGTAGCCATTACGTGAGGCAATCTTGCGTCAATTAACGTTATTTTTTTGCAGATTCATCATCCAAGAAAATCCTGTCGAAGAAAAAAAATCAGTTCGAAGGAAAAGAAGAATACTAACAACAGAACACCGCTAAGGATAAATGCGTTCAAGGTAACACAACTCAATCTTCTGCGACGGCGTGGTGTGATCTATGCAAAGCTGCATTTCTCAGTGTTCTAGTCCTTAGCTCAAGTACAAGCTTATTCCTTTGGGCTTAGTGTGTTCACAAGTGGCATCCTTTAAATTCAAAAAAAAAAAAAAAAAATCACACTTTAGAGAAAAAAGAGATCATTATTTTTATGAGTATCTCAACTGAGAAGGGCATCAAGTGTTGTGCATCGATATTTGTACCTCAAGATCAGCAGGCAAGCCACCTCCTACTGTATGAAAGGATTTATATTAAGTATGCACTTGACTTCAAACCGCGAAGATAAGTTTAGTGCTTACAGAACAAGTTACAGAGAAGACAGAAATGCAGCTGAAGACATAATCGCAAACTTTAGCTTATACATCATACATTATTGTCATCCATCGTATTGGTGATTATTGGAATGTTCCGCAAATTGTATAAGTAGGTTTTACGATCATACAATGACATATAAAGGCGTAAAACCATCATTGAACTTTCATGCACAATGATATGCATCTTGTGGTTAAGCCATCGCCCGATGCAACGCATTTGGGGCCACACAAAACCAATTTTTTATCATTGGAGATAATTTTCAACGTTTGGGGCCTCAAAATAAATTTAAACTGGTTTGCATAATGAATGTCACCACTAAAACTAATAGGAACGTATGCTCCAATAATAGTTTGGTGAGAGTCAAATGCAACTATCAGTTTCAAGTGCAAAGTCATCCATAAACTGCAGTCGAAGAAAAATGGCTAAGGACTTCATATGACATCGCAACGGTAAACGTCGCATATGATTATTTTTTAGCTTGTGCATATTTCTATATCCGAGAAACCTAGAACATCAGATTGAAAAAAAAATCCAGCAAGCACGGACAGGTTTTATCATGAAGGTATAAAGCTAAAATATCATTCCTTACTCTTCAAATTCCTTCCTTACAGCTTTTCTCCACATTTAACGCATTGAAGATGAAGTTACTCTACTTTTGGACGCTAATTCTGCTTTGTACAATTGGCAAGTTTGCATCCGCATCGAGTGGTTGCTTACCACCTGAGGCCAAAATTGTTGAAGTAGGTTTCAATGTATCGTTTTATACATATCCTTATAAGGATGCTACGCTTATGGTTGACTTGGACTTCATGGCAGGTGGTTTCAAATCTGAAGAAACATATACTGGAGGAATTCTGGGAGTGACCGATATCAACTTCAGTTTTCAAACATCAGCCACTTTCCCTTCAACAGGGGACGTATATACCGATCTTTATGGTGTAACAACAAATGTCCAAAACTTTATGATGCAACTCGAAGGTTACTTTTATGCTGATGTTGCCGGAGATTATACTTTTAACTTAAATACCATCGATGATTCCTTAATGCTTAAATTTGGAGCGGATGAGGCTTTTACATGTTGTATAACAGGTGAGCAAGATACATCCTCTAGCTACACATTGTTTGCTGCGTGGAACTCGGCAGCTGGAGCAGGTACCACCACTGAAACCTACACTCTCGCTGTCGGTTACTATCCAATTGTCATGAACTACTGTAATAAACAAATTCCAGCTAGTTTAGACTTTAGTATCACGAAACCAGATGGTACCATAATAACAGATTTCTCAAATATATTGCAGTTTGAAGATTTAACAACTAGTTGTCCAGCCACAGTTACTACTACTATTGAATGGACTGGAACTACCACTGCAACTACAACTATCTCAGGTGGTGATTTGTCAACAGAGACCGTTGAAGTCTTGACTCCTGAGCACGTAACCACCGTTACTTCTCAATGGGATAACACGGGAACGTCAACATTGACAATTATTCCAGCAGCAACCGACGGAACTACTACGATTATAGTAGAGATACCAACACCCGTTACAACAATAACTAGTACATGGACTGGCACGGATACTGAGACTACTACCATACCTGCCGCAGAAGGCGGTACTGCTACTGTTATTATTGAGGTGCCAACTCCTACTACTACTATTACCAGTACATGGACCGGTACTGATATTGAGACCACTACCATACCTGCCGCAGAAGGCGGTACTGCCACTGTTATCATTGAAGTGCCAACTTCTACTACTACTGTAACTAGTACATGGACCGGTACCGACATTGAGACTTATACAGTCACTGCCTCTAATGGCGGCACTGACACTGTGGTAGTCGAAGTACCCACTCCAACTACCACTGTCACCAGCACATGGACCGGCTCCGACACTGAGACCTATACTATTACCGCCTCTAATGGAGGTACAAATTCGGTTGTGATCGAAGTACCAACTCCAACGGTAACCACCACTTCCACCTGGACTGGGTCCGACACCGAGACATATACTATTACTGCGTCTGACGGAGGTACAGATACTGTTGTGATCGAAGTACCAACTCCAACGGTAACCACTACCTCAACTTGGACTGGCTCACATAAGGAGACGTATACAATCACTGCCTCTAATGGTGGCACCGATACTGTTGTGATCGAAGTGCCAACTCCAACGGTAACTACGACATCAACTTGGACTGGAACCGATACCGAGACTTATACTATTACTGCGCCTGAAGGCGGAAATGATACAGTCGTTGTTGAAGTACCTACACCGACCACCACGGTGACTAGTACCTGGACCGGCTCTGATACCGAGACGTATACTATTACCGCATCGGACGGTGGAACTGATACTGTCGTGATCGATGTTCCTACCCCTACCACTACGGTTACTAGTACATGGACCGGCTCTGATACCGAGACGTACACTATCACCGCATCGGATGGTGGAATCGATACAGTTGTTGTTGAAGTACCTACCCCTACCACTACAGTGACTAGTACATGGACTGGCTCTGATACCGAGACGTACACTATCACCGCATCGGACGGTGGAATCGATACTGTCGTAGTGGAAGTGCCAACTCCAACTGTAACTACGACATCAACTTGGACTGGCTCTGATACCGAGACGTATACTATCACCGCATCAGATGGTGGAATCGATACTGTCGTAGTGGAAGTACCTACTCCTACCACTACACTGACTAGTACATGGACCGGCTCTGATACCGAGACGTATACTATTACCGCATCGGACGGTGGAACTGATACTGTCGTGATCGATGTTCCTACCCCTACCACTACGGTTACTAGTACATGGACCGGCTCTGATACCGAGACGTACACTATCACCGCATCGGATGGTGGAATCGATACAGTTGTTGTTGAAGTACCTACTCCTACTACTACGGTGACTAGTACATGGACGGGTTCTGATACCGAAACGTACACTATCACCGCATCGGATGGTGGAATCGATACAGTTGTCGTCGAAGTACCTACCCCTACCACTACAGTGACTAGTACATGGGCCGGCTCCGATACCGAGACGTATACTATTACCGCATCGGACGGTGGAACTGATACTGTCGTGATCGATGTTCCTACCCCTACCACTACGGTTACTAGTACATGGACCGGCTCTGATACCGAGACGTACACTATCACCGCATCGGATGGTGGAATCGATACAGTTGTTGTTGAAGTACCTACTCCTACTACTACGGTGACTAGTACATGGACGGGTTCTGATACCGAAACGTACACTATCACCGCATCGGATGGTGGAATCGA